CTGCAGACGGCAGTCGTAGTGGAGGAGCGGCGGAGCATTAGCCCACCCCGTCAGGGCAGGGCAGGGCCGCCTCGTTAGGATTGTGCAGCAACCTCAATCTACCTGTCGGCCGGCCGGTACTCCAGCCACCCGTCGGCCCTCGGCGCCCTCGCCTCGGCGTCCTCCTCGCCCCGTCCAGCCCCGCGCCCCGCCCGCTCTCCCGCGCTCCGAGAAAGCCAGAGTCGTTCAATTTCTTTCTCGCCAAGTTTCGCGAAATTTAATTTAGTGGTGTTTTAACTCGTGGAATTATTTTCTCCACTCGGCTGGCCGGCTGGCTGCCCCCGCAGCTGCCGCTGTCGCCCCCGGCCCTCCACGCTACCCATTTGGGTAATTTCTTCCGTGAGCTGCTCTCTCTCTCTCCTCCCCCCGGGCGGCCGCCACGGCACACCGCAACCCCACCGGACGGAGGACACCCTCCGCGGCGTAGGCGGCGAGGGCCCGAGTCAATCCGTATGAGTGTCAGAACAAGCTCGTTCCCTTTTTGAGGCGGCTTCCGTGGAAGTGAGCCGAGGCGACAGGTGCGGAGCCCCGCGGCGTGGCGTGGCGCGGCGTGGCGGGGCGGGGCGTGGCGGGGCGGGGCGTGGCGGGGCGTGGCGGGGCGGGGCGGGGCGTGGCGGCCTGCAGCGCGAGGCATCTCAAGCCGTGTGGTTTGGCTTCATCCCGTTAGCCTGGCTGGTCGGTCTGGCCAGCCCGGCCGGCATGGCTGGCATCCCCTTGAGTCGTGCCGTTGGTTGGCGGCGTGCTGGCGGCGGCATGCCTCCCTGCTAGCTGGCATATTGGACGGCTGGCCGGTCTGCAGGCGCACGGCCCGCACGGGGCCGCACAGGGCCAGCTCAACGTCAACGCTCTCCTCAGTTTAAGAATGTTTAGAGTAACGTCCTCACCATTCTCGCAGTCGCGCTGTGACCGGAGCTGCCCAAAATCTCTATTCTAAGGAGGTACATCGATCGCGATATGGTTGCACCCTCGGGTGAATCCATCGCGCGATGGCTGTGCCCGTAGGGCGTACAACTATCGCGCGATAGTTCTTGTACCTCCTAAAATCCGATCGGAAGAGAGTACAGCCATCGCGGTACAGTCATCGTGGGGGTATCGTCCCGCAGGTGTCGTGCCTCGCCGAGGCCGAACAAAGCGATCCGGCCTCCGATCGCGGCGCTGTTCTCCGCCGTCTGGGGTGCCACGGCGCCGCTCGCTGCAGTGTGGTGGGCTGGTGGCGCTGGCGGCCCGTGAATTCCTCTTTCTCCCCGCCAGACTTCCTGCGGAAGCACTTGCCCTCAAGTGTGTGCGTCCGCCAGCTCGTCCGCCAGGCCGTTTAAGTGCAGCAATCCGCTGGGGCGGGGCGGCTGGCTGGCTGGCTGGCTGGCTGGCTGGCTGGCTGGCTGGCTGGCTCTTTGAAGAACATGGCGCACCTTCCCGCCCGACCTTTTGTTTACCACCGGCACGGTCTGGTGAAAGCGGCCGAAAGAACGTACCTTTGTTGTGAAATGGTCTGAAGGCTCTGCGTTGCATGTAGCGGCCGTTCCACGGGATCTTCCACGTCCACGACAATCTCTGCAGCAGACTGATTCCAAGCGGCTCGCAGTGTACCTCACCTTGCTGCTGCCCTAATGGACGCCTGATGCTCCCCGGAAGCGGAAGGCCTGTTTGAAATAAGAAAGCGATCCTAAACGGCGTGGCCGTTGCATTTTATCGCCGCTTTACTGCTGCCGCTCTGCCGCTCCGGACGGGGGATTGTTTACATGCGTGTCATGGAGGAGGGCCGGGCCGCCCCACCCTCGGCCCCACCGCCCTGGACCGTGACGCCACTAATGGAGGCGGCGGTGGAACACTCTCCCCCCCCCCCTTCCCCTCCAGCCGGACTCGGAACAAAATGTTTGGCGCGTTTTGCCACTGGGTTTGCACTCGCCTCCCCCTCGCCGAGCCGCGCCCGTTTCTCCTTATCGACGTCCATTCTCGGGCGCGTGAAGGCAGGCATCTGGCGGCGGCCTTTTTGTGTTGACGTCGCGCTGTCACTTGTGCACTGAAGCTCGGCTCGCCACGGCACGGCTCAGCACGACGCCGCTGTCTGCAGGTCTCTTATTTATGGTCCTCTTTATCTTGGCCTCCATTCATTCCTCCCCGAGCCGCCCGCCCCACCCGCTCCCCGCGGCCTGGGCTGGTGGCGCCCGGCGCGCGCGAGGGGTTGCTGTCGCCAACGGTGCAGTGTCGGTGCGCGTGTGTGAGTGTGTATTTTGGCCGCTTTGTGACGTTTCCTCGCAAAATTAAAAGAGAAGGGAGGGGACGGGGTGCCGGAAGAATGTCTCGTTTCCGCCTCGTCTTGTCGACGGCGTGTCGCGGACGTCCGTTCCGATGACTTCCAGGTCAAGAGACCGCGCGCGCGTCACGCCCGTGTCACGCCTACGTCACCCCCACGTCACGCGGTCGAGGGGGCGACTTTAATTTGTCTGGCACGCTGCGTCGTCGCGTGGGGGAGACCCGTCCGATTTTTGGCCATGTAATCCCTGGGCTGCCTGTCCGTCCCCGCCGTGCCCCTCGCCGTACCGGAATCAGTTGACGTGGGCACATGGCGGGGACACGACTTTATTGCCTCGTGTCCGACTGGGCGTGGCGGGGCGGGGCGGGGCGGGGCGGGGCGGGGCGGGCGGCCGGTGGGTGGCGGGGCACATATTAGATGTCGCCAAGTCTAGCCGGGTCCTGGCTTGGCCAGGACTGCAGGGACCTGCGCGTGGTTGGCCGCCCAATGACAGGCGCGCCGGGCTGGCTCGACGCTGGTCGCCACGGAGGCCACGGCGACCACGGCGCGAGGCGCGCACAGTGGGCCGGACGACCCGGCCGCCGTGCGGAGATCGGGAGTCAAACACGGCAGCGTGCGACGCTCTGGAATCGCCACGCGTTTCGCTCTCGGCTCACTATCGGTGGAGGCACGCCACGTGTCTAGCTCCAGAGCTGTTTGTCCTCCTCTCTGCCCAGATAGGCCATTCCTCTGAGTAAGGCCGATTCGTCACGAGCCAGTGCGGTGCATCCCCGGCTGGGCCGAACAGACGACCATTTGTGTTCCAGCCGAGTAGGCGGGCTGTTCCGGCGCGCCGCCGCGCTGCCCTGGCTGCCTAACCTCCCGACTGCAGGCGCCCGGGTCGCCCCGCCGCGCTGGTACCTGCTCCATTTAATCCTTCCCTCGGTGGCTGCTTTGTATAAGTCCCGAAAGCTTTCCGCGGTGTGCCACTAGCCGAGGACAACAGCGTCTGGCATAAATAAATTGAATGCTGCGCACTCCGTCGGTGTCGGGCCGTGTCGGGCGTGTCGGGCGTGTCGGGCCGCGTCGGCGAGGTGCGCGCAAAACAAGCCGGCGCACGGCGCGGCGCAGCACGGCGCAGCGCGCACCCTCGGGCAAAACACGACTCGCGCAAAAACAGGAACAGGCCGGCGCGGAACGGAACGGGGGGGACAAATGGAGCGCATCCATCGGGCCGCCCCGCCCCGCCCCGCCCCGCCCCGCCCCGCCCCGCCCCTCCGGACGCCTTTAATCAGGCCGCGGTCGCCGTGTACACGCCGCCGCGTTTAATTCCTTGTAACGCTCAGACACGCCGGCCTGGTCTCCTCCCCCTCCTTCAGCTCCTTCTCCTTCTTCGTGTGCTTCACTCTAAATTACTATGTGTTTTTTTTTTCGTGCATAGCATTGAGCGTGCGCGTGAAATGCACGGACTCGGGTGCGACATCGGACAAGGTGGTGCATGACAACGCCCATGTGTTCATGCTTTGGCTGCGCACGAAGTCGTGCCTTTCGAAATGCACGTTCCATTCCGTGCAAAGCAATGCACGAAACACTACAAAGTAATTTAGTGTGTGCTCTGCTCCCTCCTTCTCCTTCTCCTTCTCTTTCTTCTTGGCGCTAACGCACGGCCGCCGCGGCGCCCCACTCGATTATGCCACTAAAATATTGCCGCCATATCGCATCTGTTATCGCGCGCATATTTTGCCCTTGTTTATTCGCGACTCCGGTGGCGCCCCGCCTCGCCCCCGCCCCGCCAGGCCGTCATCGCTCACCGTGGCGCAGTGCGGTGCCGCCGCCGCTGTCGCTGCTGCAGCCCGACGAGGACTGCATGACGCTGTCGGTTCGGCGACGCGCACCGCGTGCCTCCGCCCCGCCCCGCCTTGCACGGTGACAGCATGTTTGTGATCGTTTGACCCGTCTTGCGTGGCGCGTTGCGTTGCCGGCGGCCCGGCCCGGCCTGGCCTGCGGGATTGGATGAAAGTGGAGCGGGTTGGACCGGGGCGCCGGGCCGCCGGGACGAAGACACGTTGCTCCAACGGCAACAGATGGGCCGGGCGCCGCCGCCACCGCGCCAATATTGACAGCGGCAACTGGAAAGTTTTCCCAGCGCCTTGTTGTGCGCTGCTGCTGCCGCTGCGCTGAAACAGCTCGATAGCTCCGTGCCGTGCCGCGCCGTGCCGCGCCGCGGAGCGCGGGCTGCAGTGGAGGACGTCCGTCGCGCGTCGAGTGTGCGCCTCGAGGGTGTTCCTGCCTGGCGCGCACCGCACGCCCCTTTCAAGTGGAGGGGCACGCCGTGCTCGCCTCTCTGCCGCGGCCCTTTTTGCACCGCCGGCCCGGCCGGCCAGGGCGAGGATTGGCGGAAATTATTTAGGACGCCTCAAAGGGAATGCCTCGGCCGCTGATGCGGGCCGGACACGCAGGCACGCACCCTGCGGCCGACCTGCCCTGCGCCCTGCCCCGTGCCTGCCTCGCGGACAGCTGACAGGAAAAGGCTCTTCTCGCGCTCAAGTTTCGCGCTCGTCAACAACACCAAACTTTGCGTAAATGCGCTACTGTTTATTTTTCGTCGAGTTGTGCGGGGAGTTTCTGCCTGTCTTTTATGCGCCGCTCCTCCTTTGTCTGTCTCTGTCTCCGCTCGCCGACGGTGTCCCCTTTGAACTGTGTGTGACGCGTGCTTTGGATTTTGCAGGTGAGTGCGCTGTGCCCGCTGCGCCGGCCGGGACGCGGCCGCTGTCGGACTGATTGATAAGTAGAGTGCACCTCGGTGCACCTGCTGGAAGTAACGACCGACAGGTGCCAGCTCTGCCAGCCAGCGAGCCGACCTGTCGGGCAAACGATGATGCGGCCCACTGCAAACATCCCTCCCACCTCGTATGCACTGCCGCGCCGGGACCACACGCCGCCGCTCCCAAACCTTTCGCTTCGAGGCGCTTGCCCAGTAATTGCTTGGACAGGGAATGAGGAAAGTTTTGCGGATTCTTATCAGAGCGGCGCGGTGCGGCGCGGTGGGCGCGGCGAGGACAAACTTGGCCCTTGAACGCTACGCAGACGCGCGCGCGTCCTCTCCCCATTCTTCCACCGTATCCTTGCTTCCTGTTCGCGCCGCGGTCTGCGCTAATTTTCCCCTTTTCCTTTTTAGTCGCATCGATACCCTGTTCTACAGGATTCCATTTTTTTTTTTATTGAAGTTCGAATGGATCTAAAGGCGTTTCGCTGTCAAAGTTTCGCACCCTTTTCTGTTTCTTATCAGTTATATCGGTTAAATAGGCCGATACGTATGGCAAACAAAAGTTTGTCGTCGTGCTGTTTTTTTTTTTTTTTTTGTTTTTTGCCACCCTGTGTTTGGAGCGCGCCGTCGCGATGAGGGAAACTACCGTCATTCTAATCCTCTTAGGTGCAGGACGCTTTCAAGGCCCGCGAAATAACCGTGTGAAACCGGACGGCGTCCTCGGGACCGCACCGCGCACCGAGTCGAGTCCGCTGCGGCGGGTTGCGGGAGACTCGGCGGCGGGGCTGTTCATTAGACCTACCTCACAGTTGACCTACCAATATATTTATTAATAAAAATATTAATATAAATATTTGAATAAAAATATGGGACTATAAATAATAGTGTTATAAATATTAACAAAAAAGGTTGACCTACCCCACAGTTGACCTACCCTATATTTTTATTATAAATTTTTTTGAAGTATCGTCTACTGTCACTGGGACACTGTCACGCTTCACCTGCCGCGACGTCATCGCGCTTCCCCTGCCGCGACACTGTCGCTCTTCCCCTGCCGCGACACTGTCGCGCTTCCCCTGCCGCGACACCGTCGCGCTTCCTCTGCCGCGACACTGTCGCGCTTCCCCTGCCGCGACACTGTCGCGCTTCCCCTGCCGCGACACTGTCGCGCTTCCCCTGCCGCGACACTGTCGCGCTTCCCCTGCCGCGAGGCCGTCGCGCTTCCCCTGCCGCGACACTGTCGCGCTTCCCCTGCCGCGAGGCCGTCGCGCTTCCCCTGCCGCGACACTGTCGCGCTTCCCCTGCCGCGACACTGTCGCGCTTCCCCTGCCGCGAGGCCGTCGCGCTTCCCCTGCCGCGACACTGTCGCGCTTCCCCTGCCGCGACACTGTCGCGCTTCCCCTGCCGCGAGGCCGTCGCGCTTCCCCTGCCGCGAGGCCGTCGCGCTTCCCCTGCCGCGAGGCCGTCGCGCTTCGTCGGTCAAGTCAAAAATATAGGGTAGGTTAACTGTGGGGTGGGTCAACTTTTTTTGGTAATATTTATATTACTCCTGTTTATATTCCCATATTTATATTCTAATATTTATATTAATATTTTTATTAATTAATATATAGGTAGGTCAACTTTGAGGTGGGTCAAGCTACATAGACTCTGGGGCGGGGCACCACGGGGCGCCACCGTAAAGTTGTGGTTTTGAAGAGGCGCGCCGCGGAGCCGCGGCCGCCCTGAACCGCGGTGGTTGTCGCGCCGCCACTGCAGCGCCTTCTTGGCGAAGTGATTCCATTATCTGGGCCGGACGGGATGCGGGTCATGACGAGGCGCCCCCACCCCCTTTCCCCCCTCCCCTTGCCTTTCTTAATGGGGTCCACAATAATAAATCATTTCGAACAAGTGGCCTTCGTTACGTGCCGCGCCTCGGCTTGCCTCTGGCTTGCCTTCGACTGTGCTGCGGGTGCCAAACTTTGCCGGCGGGCCGCGGGGCTCGTGGAGGAGGGCCGCGGCGCGGGCCGCTGCTTTAATGACAGGGGGATTATACGCGCAGGGATGTGGGCGTCCGCGGGCCTGTGGGCCTTGTGGGCCTTGTGGGCCTTGTGGGCCTTGTGGGCCCTGTGGGCCCTGTGGCCCTTGTGGGCCTTGTGCGCCCTGTGGGCCCTGTGGGCCTTGGACGCTGAGAGTTGCGCTCGGCCGCCGGTGCCCGCTGCGATCCGATCCGATCCGAGGCAATGTGGCTTTGGCCGAACTGACTGGCGACTGG